GCCCTTTTGACATGCTACTCTATTTAATTTTTATACCTTATTGTATTTAATTAGCTAAACCCTTTCATTTGAGGTACTGCACGTCATGATTAGATTGATAGACCCGAAGATACACAACTAAGGCCCTTTTGGCATGTTGCTGTATCTGATTTTTCTATTTCATTGTTTTTGATTGGTTAAATCCTATCATTTAAGATACTGTACGTCACGATTGGACTTATAGAAACGAAGATATACAACTAAGGCCTTTTTGACATGCTGCTGTATTTTATTTTTCTGTCTTATTATATTTTATTGGTTTAATACTATCATTTGAGGTACTGTACGTCACGACTGGACCAATTGGAGCGAAGATACAATAGGTAGGTACAATATATCATAACCCGTTACTTTTAACAAAACATGATGCCAGAATGATTTATGGATGAAAAAAAATATATATTCTTAAATTTACTATTTCGTTGTGGGTAATATTATATTCAACAGCGATGCCAAATTTCTGATGCTAAAATGATTGATAATGAAAGTGGAATATACATTTTTATGTATATAATGACATCGAGTAAACGGTAAAACCCTGAACTAAATATATATAATATTTTCACCGTACCATCATTTTAGACTCAAATATTTTTTGGAATAAACTTATATAACTCAGTAAGGGATAAAAAGAGAAAGCCGATATTTTAAAATACCAACACGGTATCAAATCTCTAATCAGTGAGATGGTTAAAATTCTTGTAACAAGTACAGGAAAAAAGTTATTAAGGTGTTGTAAAGTAGCGTCGATATACAGATGCTACTTTGCAAGACGATGCTAAATTGATGGTAAAAGCATAATGTATCGATGCCAAAATGATAGTAGGATGTATATATATATATATATATATATATATATATATATATATACACATATATATACATATATATATATATATATATATATATATATATATATATATATATATATATATATATAATATTTTATATTAAACGCACTATAGAGGAAAATAACAGCCTAAAAGTTCTACGTAGAAAGCTAACGAATGGGAAATGCGAAATTCATAAATTAAGAAACAAGCAAAATGAAATAATATCACGTAGAGACGAGTTAATACAGGTCATCGAAGAGTTTTACGAGGACTTATATAGAAGTAGACGAGAAGATAAAACAGGAATACAAACAGCCATTTCAAAGAAGATCAAGAATCAAGGTTCCGAACTAATGCTAGAGATAAAGCTAGATGAGATTCGACAAGCATTAAGAAAAATGAAAAATAACAAAGCCCCAGGAGAGGATGGAATCGTAATAGAAGCTATCGTAAATGGAGGAGATATGCTATTAAATAAATTAAGGAAACTATTCAATCTATGTTTGCAGCAAAGGGAGGTGCCCAAAGAGTTGAACAATGCTACAACCATCCTTTTGCATAAAAAAGGAGATAGAACGGACCTAGAAAATTATAGACCTATTAGCCTGTTGAACCACATATACAAGCTCTTCACTAGGGTAGTGACATCAAGATTGGAGAAAAAATTAGATTTCTACCAATCGAGAGAGCAGGCAGGATTCCGCTCAAATTATGGTACCAATGATCACCTCCACACAGTAAAGACACTCATTGAAAAATCTATAGAATATAACAAACCTCTTGTTCTCACTTTCATAGATTTTCATAAAGCGTTCGACACGATCGAATTAGACAGCCTTATAGAAGCAATGAATGACAGCAGGATTGACCATAGGTATAGTGAGCTTATTTATAATATTTACAAAAATGCCACTATGACTGTTAAAATAGACAATAAAAACCCGACCAATAAAAATAAATCGTGGAATAAGGCAAGGAGATACATTGTCGCCGAAATTATTCATAACGGCAGTAGAATATGCCTTTCAGATGATCAATTGGGACCACAGAGGAGTAACGATAGACGGCGAAAAGCTTAACCATCTCCGTTTCGCAGATGACATTGTCCTTATCACAGATAATTTAGGAGAAGCTACAGATATGTTAAACGAATTGGATTTTGCATGTTCGAAGGTGGGCCTGAGAATGAACTTGACCAAAACTAAGTTTATGACAAATTTGGTCCCCAATAACCATTTGACTATTCAAGACAAAGTGGTAGAACTGGTGGAGAAATATACGTATTTGGGTCATGAAATAAGAATCAGCAGGGATAACCAAACATGTGAGATCCAAAGACGAATTACTTTAACATGGGCAGCCTTTGGAAAACTGCGAGACACACTTAGGGCCAACATACCAATCAGCCTCAAAAGAAAAGTGTTTGACCAATGCGTATTACCGGTCATGACCTATGGGGCGGAAACTATGACTTTAACCAAGACCACGGCTTCGAAACTGAGAGTGGCACAGAGACGAATGAAACGGTCTATGCTGGGAGTGACGTTGAGGGACCGAATAAAAAACGAAGATCTGCGAAGAAGGACGAGTATTACTGATGTTGTGGAACGCATAGCGGAACTAAAATGGAACTGGGCAGGCCATGTAGTAAGAATGGACGATTCACGATGGACGAGCAAAATTACAAATTGGAGGCCAAGAGCAGACAAACGCAGTAGAGGAAGACCACCTACACGTTGGGCCGACGACATCAGGCGTATCACTAAAAATTGGCAACAAAGAGCACAAAATCGTGAGGAATGGAGGAGTTTAAGGGAGGCCTATGTCCAGCAGTGGACGTGATAAATAGAGGCTGGATGATGATGGATGATGATGATGATATATAATATTTTAGTAAGCGTTTTTTGTTTTTGTTGAAGAATTAGACAAAAAATACTACGTGCTAATACTAGCTATTATTACTACCTACTAAGTAATAACTATTTAAATATATAAATATATTTTTTAACACAGCACTAGGGCATAAACCCGGTTCAACACCTCGAAGGTTTAGGCCTTCTTTGTGTATTTTTTTAATTTTATTTTTTTATTTTTTATTTAATCTTTATTTTAATTATTTATTTATTTTTTTTTCGTTTTTTTTTATTTTTTAATTTTCATACCTATTTTAAATTATATAAAATTTCATAATTTTAGTTCTATATTAATAATGTGTTTAATTGTGATTATTCTTTTTAAAAATATAATCATTTTAAAAACTTTTGTATTATCTTCATTTAATAGTTTAGCATTACTTATCATAATCAAAAAGAGGAAACTATTTGAAGAGCTACTCCAAATCATATTGGAAGGTAAAGTGCAGGGCAAAAGATCAGTAGGAAGATGCCAGAGCTCGTGGCTGAAAGACCTGAGGAGATGGTTTAAGCGCTCATCCACAGAAATCTTTCGTGCAGCAGTTTCCAAAGTTATAATTGCCATTTGGATCGCCAACCTTCGAAAAGAGACGGCACAATAAGAAGAAGAATAGTTTAACAGTATAATAAATAGTTAAATAGTATAAAATTTAATTTTAATGGCGTGTTTAAAGATGCTTTCAGCAATTCTTGAAGCAGACACGTACTTGTATTGAGATGATAGGGGCAGTTAAATAATATGTGATTTAGATCAGCTTTGCGAGTTCCACACTCACAACTGTCTGTTGAGAGAACTCCTATTTCATGTAGATGCTTCGGAAAACATCCATGATCTACTTTTAATCTTAGGGATGGTCGACACTGTATTTCTACTTAGTGCAACAACTTTGGAAAATTGATTCGTAGTTACTGTTGCTTGTAATTAAAACTTCTATCCCATTAAAATTTAATATGCTGTTCTGAAGCTATTTTCTTGTGGCATCTTAAAGCAATTACTATTTTGAAGGGAATAAGCCACAATTGATATATTCAAATGAATATTGTTATGATATTTAAATTCGTATACAGAATGTCTTTTCCACCAGTGTTGAGCCTAAAATGCTACAAGACGTTCGGTCGTCTTTTATCAACCGTATAAGACTGTGTTTTAAACATTATAGGCAACATTTCGAGCATGTATTAACATAGTTAATAATGTATTTCTGAATATAGGTTATCCACTAGGTAAATATTATTTTGTAAAATATACATACAGTGATGCAATAATTGCAATAATCATCTCAGTTTAGAACTAAGACAAAGAATGGTTAAATGCTATGTTTGGTCCGTACTTTTGTATAGTGCAGTATTCTGGACGCTAAAAGTATCGATCATAAACAAAATTGAAGCATTGGAAATGTGGGTTCATAGACGAATGGTGAAGATACCTTGGACAGCAAGGAAAATTAATGAAGAAGTACTAAGGAGCGTCAACAAAAATAGAGAATTGCTAAAGACTGTTAAACATTCAAACATGTCTTATCTGGGACATATAGTAAAGGGAAGTCGATATAAAATATTACAACTGATCCTTAAAGGCAAAATAGAGGGCCCTAGAGGCGTAGGAAGGAAACGGGTTTCTTGGTTGAGGAACATTCGTGAATGGACTCGTATATCAAATGCGAAGATTAAAAGTAAACACAAACTTGGCACATCACACTTTTAATCTGACATAAATGATACCTCGTCGGTGGCTTAGTAAAACGTGGTTAATATAAATTAAACAAAAAAAAAACATTTAACCACTGTAAAGTCGGGATTTTTCACTATAAAATACTTATAAGGCTTCCTTCAAAACACCAAAAAAGATAAGTGTTAAAAGAGTCGTATATATTTTGTATATATATTAACTCTTTGTATATATTTTTTTCAATTTACGTATATTTGAAATTAAAAAAAATGCTACCGAACGTTAAGCATTCGCCCTACAGAGAAGTTATTACGATGGTTATATTTTGGTATATAAACAAAAAGTAAATATTTTCCACCGGGTGAAGAGGTATACAATCTTGTAAAGCGATCAGCCATGTGGAATAATTTTTGTTTTTGTAAAAGACCAAATGATCTTTGCGAAAGTATTGATTATCCTTGTAAAAGTACTTACTCATCATTCTAATAAAAGAACGCATCATACAATTAGTACTAAAAACCATCAGGGTCAGTATGTTGATCTTACCTTGTGTCATCTTGCTTTGATGGGAAGTGTTAGCCGGTTCGTCGTTAATCGGAAGAAGAGTGGAGGTTCTGGGATTCAAAACTCCATGAGGATTGTGTTGTGCCTGATGATGGGAGATGTCTGCGGAGGTTGGATGAATACTGCCATAGTCGACAAATTTCGGCTCTAATATCATTCTGCAAAAAAAATGAAACTAATAATTACCATTCGCTTACTATCTTATCTTACAGATTAAAAGAGTTAAATAAAAGAATGGTTAGAAATTGTTACTTTATCTAAGATAAACACGTTTATTAAACAATTATATAAGGTGAACTGCAATTGTCTTATCAGTGTCTAATTTGTTTTCAAATCTAACAAAAGACAGTTTATTGTTTTGTTGTGATTTAAAAATAAAAGTTGGTATCGACATATCGACATCGACGGTAATTCAAGACATTTGGCGAGAAGAAACAATGTCAGATGAATGGAAAGAAGGGGTTATTGTACAATACACAAAAAAGGAAACAAAAAGCAATGTATTAACTACCGGGGAATAACACTCCTATTGATAGAGTAGAGAAAGCATTTGATAGAGTATGCAGGGCCAGAGTGTGGACAGCGATGCAGGAACTTGGCTTTCCAAAAAAACTAGTCAGGTTGATACGGATGTGTATGGAACGGTTACGATGTAAGGTGAGAGTTGGACAACAATACGACATTTGAAATAAACAATGGACTTAAACAGCTAGATGCACTTTCACCACAACTCTTCAACTTAGCTCTGGAGCACATAATCAGAAGTGCAAGAATCGAAAAACCGAATACAGTATTTCATCGAGAAGGACCAAACTTACTACTGGCATTTGCAGACGATATCGGTCTAATAGGAAACACACGATTAAGGATGAAGGAGACTTTCGTGAGGTTCGAGAAAGAAGCAAAGAAGATGAGGCTCCGAATCAACGAAAACAAGACGAAATATATGTAAATGAGCCGCAATAACCAAATCAGACACAGATTCGGCCAGAATATCACCATCGATGACTTTAACTTTGAGCGCGTTAGAGAATTCAAGTATTTTGGAACAAGAATAACTGAAGACAATAACGGATCACAAAAAATTAACAACAGGATTCAGGCCGGCCACATATGTATTTTTGCCCTCCAAAACCTTACAAAATCGAAACAACTAACAAGACGTACGAAGATACAGGTCTATAAAACAATCATACGACCCGTTGTGATGTACGGCAGCGAAACGTGGACGATAACAAAGGCAAAAGAAGAGCTTGTATGTGTTTGGGAAAGAAAAATCCTAAAGAAGATCTTTGGTCCTGTGCTGGATGAAGCATCAGGACAATATAGGATAAGAACTAACAAAGAACTCGAATAACTCTACCCAGACGCCAACATCATAAAAGAAATAAAGTCCAGAAGACTCCAATGGGCAGGACACCTCAGAAGACATTCTGACGAACGAACAGTAAAACTGGTGTGGGAGGAAGTCCCAACTGGAAGGAGACCACGCGGACGCCCTCGTCTCCGGTGGCGAGATAATATAGCAGGGGCCTAAGCACTATGGGCGAGGAGAATTGGATGGAGGTTGCTCAAGACAGAAAACAGTGGAGGCATGTTGTCGAGTCGGCTAAAACCCACCAACGGTTGTAACGCCACGTAGTAAGTAAGTAAGGTATCGACAGGCAATTTTTAATGAGGTTTTGACATCCAAAAATTGGAAAATCACGTTCATAAAAATACCCAGTTTTCCAAATGCAATAAATGAAATAATAGAGAAGCATAAAAACGCGGATTATAATATTAGCCATTTCCTAATTCTTAATAACAATTCTTATAAATGACGTACGTCTGGCTCACATGTTTTGGTTTATTTCCTATAATAAGAATGATGACGATGTGTAAAGATCCGGCGGATCGATTGTAAATAACAACAGTACTGAATAAAAACCAATAGAGCAGAAAAGGCAGATTATGTTAAAAAATGGATGGAACAAATCACGAAAGGTAAAGATGAAGTTAAAATTTTTAAATCAAGTATGTACATCACAGGCCCTACATTTCAGATAGTCGTTTCATTATATAAGTTTTCAATAGCACTGAAATAGCTGTGAAAGAAGGAAGTTTTGCAATAAAAAATTATATGAAGGTACTTTTATTTTCTAATTTATTTAACGGCTGATACTGAAATTTTAATGTGTACATAATCCGTTCTGATGTAAATGATATATTTTTCTGGACTCAGTTTAAGATCAAGGGTAGTTAAAAAGCTGTGCAGGAAGTAGTGAAGAAAAAGTGCTAAGACGACAGATTCCTGTTCATGTAAATTGTGGAACAGCCATTGTCAAGTAGAATTCATATTATTAAATGTTTGTTTATATGCATTTGATATTTTTTATATTAATTTATTGTATAAAAAACGGGATTCGATTATAAATCAAACCTTATCCGATAATCTATATTATGTAATATTTCTGTAAGATTTTCTAATAGTCTAAAAGTATTATTAAATATCTAACATGTTTATAAACTAAATAATTTGTCAGTTTGATAAGAGGACAGCTGCACTAATTCTCAAAAATCAAATTATAAAATGATGAAAAGTTATTCTGAAAATATTTCTTCCCATTATGTCGCTCGTACCAGAGATTACATCATCAGATTACATACATCATCTTGGACAAACAGAATAAAATAAGAACGTAGAAAAAAACTAAAAACATTAAAAGATCAAAGAGATAACACCTTTGATCTAGAAGAAGAGGTAAATGATGGACCAAGAATATTACAGCAGGAAGTTTATTCCGCAATAACACAGTTAAAGGATGGCAAAGCGGCAGGTCCTGCTAATATACAAGCAGAACTACTCAAACTAATGGACAACGAATCAATAGCAATCATCGCAAAGATATTCAACAACATATACAACTCTGGAGAAATACCAACAGAATGGCTGAAATCTGAGTTTATTGCACTTCCAAAAAACCAGGAGCCAAAAAATGTGAAGATTACCGTACTATAAGCCTCATGAGTCATCTCCTAAAATTTTTCCTAAAGATAATTCATAAGAGAATCTACAAGCTCTGTGAAAGTCAAATTTCTCCCAATCAGTTCACCAACAACGGGTTCACAAATGCTGTTGGTACTAGAGAGGCTTTGTTCTCAGTACAAGTCTTATTCCAGAGATGCAGAGACGTCCACTGCGACGTATACGCATGTCTGGTTGATTACGAGAAAGCGTTTGATCGAGTACAGCACGCCAAGATGATGCAAATACTAAAAGAAGCAGGAATTAACAACCAAGATCTGAAAATAATTAGAAATCTTTACTGGAATCAGACAGCAAATCTCAGAGTTGAAGGTGAACACACTGAATATGTAAAAATCATAAGTGGAGTGGGGCAAGGCTGTATTTTGTCTCCTCTAATCTTCAATCTGTATCCTGAAAGAATATTTATCGAAGCTTTGCACGAAACTGAAAAAAGTATTCTACTAAAACCGGCTTAACAACATCAGATATGTAGATGACACCATAGTATTTGCGGACAACTTAGAAGATCTACAAGTTCTTATGAACAAAATCACGTATTACAGTCAACAATATGGACTCAATATAAACGTTAAAAAGACAAAACTTATGAATAATTAGCAAGAAAAGGATAACAGAAGGTCGATTCTACGTCAACCAATCTCCTGTAGAAAGAGTGACGCACTACAACTACCTCGGCAGCATAATAAATGAAGAATGGACCAACAACCAGGAGATTAGAGCACGCATCGCAAAAGCTAGATCCACCTTCAATCGGATGGGGGCCTTCTTCAAGAGTTACAACCTCTCTCTTGATACAAAAGTAAGAATGCTGCGATGCTACGTCTTTCTGTCCTTTTATATGGTGTTGAAACGTGGGCCTTGAACGAAGATATGTGCAAAAACCTGGAATCATTTGAGATGTGGCTATATCGGAGAACACTTAAGATACCGTGGACTGACTAAGTCACAAATGAGGAGGTCCTTAGAAGAATGAATAAGAACCGAGAGGTACTGACCACCATTAAATCTAACGTTACAATTCTTCGGACATTATGCGAAATGAATCCAGATATGCTCTCCTTCAAGCCATCCTGCAACGAAAAATATTTAGAAAGCGAGGTCCAGGAAGAAGAAGTTAAAGAACCTCAGAATCTGGTTCAATACAACATATATGTGCAGCTTTTCCGCGCTGCTGCAGATAAGATAAATATTGCCATGATGATCGCCAACATTCGTAACGGATAGGCACATCAAGAAGACCAGAGATTAAAAATCATCGAAGGTATCTTATAGACTTGTTGCTGAGAACAGAAGCAGAAATGTTGACAGGGTATGCACCAGTAACAGAATTCCTGAATAAAATAGGGATTTACAATGGAGACCTTAACTGCATACTCTGTGATAAGAAACTAGAAACTGTAAAACATGTATTATGCGATTGCAAGGCAGCGGACCGTAAAAGATAAAAACTGTATGGGCAACCAAGAGGAGATATATTAAGAACACACCAAGCCAAAGACCTGTACAAACTTCTACAGGTTACAAAAATTCTAGACTGGGTGTAGGAAACAACAATGGGCAACAAACACAATAAGCTTTGGCTTTAATTATTACAGAGATCTATTGGATTAGACGGGTTCTGAGAGAAGTGTGAAATTTATTCCGTTCAATGAAAACTTTTCCAGCCATTTTGCGTAAAATTGTTGTTAACTTGAATGCGCCTCCTCAGACGTAGTATGGTATTTAATACAAAAAGAGTAGATTAACATTCCTATGGGTTTGCAATTAAAGTTTTTGATATTAAAAAAAAAAAAGAAATAAGACAAAGAGATTCATAGTTTAATAGATGAGGGAGATACGACGTCCATGAGAAAACGGTGTCGCCCATGATAGCACAAATTTGAATATCTGATTAAATCAGTCTTTCTTACTGCTAAAACACATTTAATATTGGTCCTGTAAGTTTATGAAAAAAATTGGATGAAATAATGTTAGTGATATTTTGGTAAGACACTTTTTATAGCGATTGTTAGTGCTAGTAGTAACAACCTATATTACCTTACAAATTTGCATTTTATTTCCTTTGGTAGTATGAGTACAACTAAAATCTTTTAAAAACCTAAAACTGCCCACTTTTATTTACTCTAA